TCAATATGACACTGACGAGAGACGAGGCCCAGGTGTCAGTGCATTAGATGACAGTGGACCAATGGAACAACAGCTGTGGGAGTACAGACCGGTACAGACCGGTACAGACCGGTACAGACTGGTGTAGACTGGCTTTCTGTGTTCTAGACCCAGTAACTAAGTGGTTCTGGTGTACTGGTCAAAGTCATCAACAATTCACTGATCTATAATTTATCAACTCCAGACGATCGTTTCTGGATGAGCCGTTGCCTAGCAACAGACTGACCAGGTGTGTGTGCAGTTCAAACACAGCCTTCCTGTTCAGTCCCAGTGAGTCAGTGCTGGATGTCCCAGTGAGTCAGTGCTGGATGTCCCAGTGAGTCAGTGCTGGATGTCCCAGTGAGTCAGAGTCAGTGCTGCCAGTGAGTCAGTGCTGGATGTCCCAGTGAGTCAGTGCTGGATGTCCCAGTGAGTCAGTGCTGGATGTCCCAGTGAGTCAGTGCTGTGTCGTCTCCTTCTCTGACACCTTTAACAATAAAAATAGAAAAGTCAACCTGTATATTTGAAACCAGAAGAACCCGTCATCGTGGAGTGGAACCCAAACACTACTGTGTCTCAGTGTATAGGGAGAATGAAGAGACTGTCGCCATGACTACCTGTGTATGAATCCATGTAGTGGTTGCTGTTGCCATGGTTGCAGAAGAACGACTAATCGGGGAATTGGATGTAAATAAATGATAAAAATACGGCCGAGTGATTCAGAAATAAAAAACTTGATGTTTTTATGAATCATTTACACATGGACTGTCGTCAGTCCTTCAACAACACATAAACATAGTTCATCATTCACATGAACATGAGATGATTTTCATTTTTTCCTCTTGGGGCAGCAGACCTACAAGACAGAAAAAGAAGTACTAGCCTCACCCCTCTGCTGTAACGCTGCTCCCGGTGGAATATAGACAGAAGCGCTGCGGCACGACAGTCATAACGCACAGTGGAATATCATGGTACGGCCTATTGAACACACCTAGGTTGACTTAAGGTCCGCCACCACATGTTGAGACACACCGCCCAGTCATGGAGTACATGAACGACTGACCCTGTTGTACAGGAGAACAGGTTGATGCTTGAAACACACGTGTCAAACTCAAGGCCCACGGGCCAAATGAGGCCCACCAAGTCAACCTGTGTGGCCCGCAGGAACTTATAAAGTAGTTGCCTTATAATAAAGTTGATGCTGCTGAGTTGTTGTTGTTTTTTTTAATCAATGATCAATATCTGTAACGTGAATAAATCAGAATTAATCGCAGAAACATTGATGAATAAATGACGGAGTAGTGACGTCTGTACAGTCTTCCAGTTACAACTGGCCCT